TTGCCAGATTGGTCCCAAAGGTATCGGCTATAGAGCAATGATAGCCTGCCGTTGCACCATGGAAACTATGGTTCATAGCAGTTACACTGTTGAGTTACACAGTTTCATTATCACATTACATGATAAATATTCAAAAAATCATTATTCTAATTTTTTTTTAATGAAGTATTTATGCAGTTATGTTTGTGATAATATATCTGAGACCATGCCCAAAATTAGCCAACTTAAAAAATAGAACCTCCCTATCTATGAAATCAAATACTGTTTATATGAAAAATGCATCGATTTATGATGGTTTTTTACCAAAGTCAGTTTAACAATTGTAAAAAAAACTGAAAATCTGGTACACGGTTGAGTAGCCTGGCCAAAATCCTGTTTAAAATCATTCAAAATTTTTTTTGGGTAGCCAATTCGACAAGTGTCCCAAAAAAAAATCAGTTAATTGTTCGGTAATTACATTAATAAATACGTGCTTCTGAAATTATCCACCTTTTTGACATTTCCTTTTTTGAATAATGGGTAAAGAATGATTTAGTGAACCCCTATGGGGTTATTCCAGTATTAAAGCAATCTTTGAACACATTAACAATTTGTAGAAAAACAAATTCTGGTGAATGCTTGAAGAATTCTTGAGGCAAAAATCAAGAACTGGTGCTTTATTATTATTTGCCTTAACTATCGTACATTTCAATTCATGCAAACTGTTTTCCCTATGAAGGTTAAATTTTGCACGATAAATAGTGATATGCTTTTGAGCTATCTGCTTTGTGATGGATTTTGGAGCGAAGCCTCCCTCAAAATGGATAAATCATTTCTCTTTTGTCGGTCGATATTTGTTGCACGATAAAGCTTTTGAGCAATTGAAGGATATTGCTTTAACCAAATCTTTTCCAAGATTTTGTAAGCTGACTAAAATTATCTAGATCTTTTGAATAACATTTGCTCTTTTTATAACTTTTGACATCCAATACTATTTAATAAATTATGGCTACTACTTAAAAGCATTGGCAGATCTAGAAGGAAGGGTCATAACGCTATTTATATGCTCGATATCTACAGTGACTGTACACTGGGATTGTATTGCATACTATGTACAAGAATTAAGTGTAATGGCAATCCAGCTGCTATTAGCAAAGAAAGCATAGCACTAGTTTTATTAAATTAGTATTTTTTACTAAACCTAGCATTTATCTATGCTTTTAAACGTTGATAAACCTAACTATGATTGCCTCTTAGCAAGTATGCTATTACAATTACAAATACCTATGAGTATTCTCCTTATAAATTATTATTATAAATATATGCAAACATTTCGTGTTAAAGTTATTAATTTACATAGTTATAAACTGTCTTTAGGGCCTCAGGTAGCAGATAGGCCTTTTCCGCCTCATTGACTTATGCCACACTTTTCTAACTGTCCTAGTATTACAATGCCAAACCTGACTACTATTCCCAAGTTTAATATTTTATTTTTAATTAATATTTGATGACAAGTCTTTTTCTATCGTTAATAATAATAGTAAAAAATATATTTATATATAAATTCAAAGAATATAGTAGTTTTGACAGGCAGTTGATTATACTTTTAGTATAAACAACAACCTACTTATTTTTCTCTTTACCCAATGAATAATACAATAAAAGCTAAGTTAATTTACTATTATAATACATTATTTACAAATTATAGTTATTCACAAATTTAGATAAGCCTACTTGGATATAATATGCACAATAAAGTGTCACAGGAAGAACAATTGAGCCTCTTTAACTTTGATTATTTTAGTTCTTTACACTTTGGTTCATTACGCAACACAAACTCAGTCACCATGAATATCATAGAAGATCTCTTTATCTTCTCAAGATTAAGGTTTCTTACCCTATTATACATAACCAAATTATATTACCTATCGCACTTTAGGGATGTAAGGAGTAATTCTGTCTACTCCTAAAGTCAGGGTCACTATTTCCTAATGACTTCAAAATAATTCCACTAAAAAAAAAAATTGGTCCAAACTCAAAAGGTGTTTTATCCAGGGATGCTCTTCTGTAGAAATAAAGTGACTTTTGATTGCGTTATTTTGCAAATAACTAAACATCTAGGAGGTACTTATAATCTTCATGATTTTAATATTTATCTCAACGAAAAATTTACGTAAAGTCCAATCTGCTGAAGGTCTATTTAGGTGTTCATAGAACTACATTTTTATCTTTATAATTCTATTAATCATTTTTTTTTATCTCTTATAATTATTCAAAATTCCGATTCTAAATCAATATTCCGGTTCCTGTTTGCTTGCTATATCGAGAGATAAAACAATAATTAGAAGTGATTCTTTTTTCTGACTTTCCTCCTGAGGTAGCTTCTCGGTTCCACAGGAATCGGTTTCATTTTTGAAAAGAAACATTTTAACCTTAAATTTTCTTGACATTTCAATTTGCTTTTATTCAACCTCTATCTTCCTTTTTATTTTCTTTGATGTTTGTATAAATTTCCTATCCCGCAAGTTTAATTTATGTTGGTGTAAACATAATTGATTAATCTTAATATTTTTTCTCAGCTTGACTACGAATACTAAGATACAATATAATATTATAATATTATTTGGAATTGGGATGTTTAACTGCAAATCTTCTTGTGTTTGAATCTGATGGACCTCATGATTAATTTGATTTTCTTCTTTCCCCACTTCTTAGGACATATATCAATATTATTAGATATTTCAATAACAAGAGCTTCTTCAAGCAATATTTTTTAAATAAATTTCTTTTTCATGTTGGTCCTTTATTTCTTCAAGAAGTTCAAATATCTTCAGAAGCCATTTCTTCAAAAATTAGATCTATTTGTTCGTCATGAGAAGTAGATAGATCAACAATTTTTGAGTTCTCGATCTTTTCAACGAAGCTCTGAACTTCTGGGTTTATCTGTTTTTTAATGTAATTGATAAATTTACCTTCTTCCATAGACCTAGGCAGTACATCAGTTATTTCTTCTTTTGAATTCTCCATTTCATCATCGATTTTTTTCTCAGTTGTGCCTTCTCTTATACTAGCAGTGCATATATGTATATTTTTACATAGGTTTCTGCCACATCTTCTGTTCTCTATTCTAATCTTTCAAAACTTTTCGTAATCTACTTGAAATTTCTTAAACATCTCATCCATCATGGATTGGATATTCTCAATTAAGTGTGACTGATTTGGTACCGCTTTTGTGGCCAATCGTGTTTTAAAGGAATCCATCACGAAGTTAAAGAGAATGCTTAAAAAGTGAATTAGCGAAGAACAAATATCCACCCAACAAAACCAAAATGTAAAATTTATAATACTAAACCCAATATAAAAGAAAACAAATTATTAAATATACCCACTAAACTATTTAATACATTATTTATAACGAAAACATATCACTTTAAGAATGAAAATATAAGAGATAACTAACAACATGCAACTATATTCATGTTGAAAACAATTTTAGAGACATAAAATATATAAATAAATCAGTCTATCTGCATCATGTAACGCAATTAGTTTAAATACCACACATAATGATTTAGATACAAAATTAATTAATGATAAATGATTAGTCATCAGAAAGCTGAATAATAAGTGCCCACAAGCTGCGTACCATAATGAAATGTTATTAGTAAAAAAATAATGGATGATATACGAATTATATGGAATATTAATTTACAAATTATATTTACAGTAAACTAATTAAATGATTAAAATAATTTTATAAACTTTGTGAAGTTATGATTTCAGATGGACTGTTTGAGAATTAATCCCTAAAATATTTTAACATTATTCGATCTATTGTTGGGAATTAAAACTTTTCTGAGGCTCTAAATTTGATGTGGTAAGGTTGTGTTGGTCATTCCATCACTGTGTCTGCTTTGAGGTCATCTCGTCAAGCCCAGGTCCAAACTCTGTCAGGATGACCATCTCCACGATCTGTGTAGGCCAAGCTGCCTCTTCAGTCCTCAAGGCCAGAAAAAGATATAAGACCTCAAGCTTTTCCATCCACGAGATTTTATACAAATATTTAGAGTGGAACAAGAATGGTTTTGATTGGTTCTTAACTTTAGTTACCAGTTACTCTGAGTACAATCCTTCCCCAGAGTCCTCGGTCCTTGCAGTGTCCAGGTAGGTACCTGATCTCCACCGTTCAACGCTGTTTTTATTTTAGCAGATGTGTTTGGTGTCAGCATATTCCAACTTTGTTTTTGGCACCTCATAACAATTTTAAAAGATTATTTGCTATGTTTAATACATAGCAATGTTCTATTTTTTAAATTATGCAAATAGAGCAACTAAATATAACCACGTCTCATGAGAAAAATATCTCTAAAAATATTATTATTCATGTAATAACATTTTTAAATGAACTACAACAAACACTTAAATACTGTTTCATAAAGAGAGTAACTTTCTTCCCAAACAATTATCATTTTATATCTATCTATATTTGCATATATAAGTTTTCGAGCTGAAGCCACTAAAATTAAATTCTGGATCCACTAGTATATACAGATACTAAATATAACCATGTCTTACGGAAAAAATAAAAAAAAATATTTCTAAAAGTATTATTGTATAATGTGTTTTTATTTATTTTTTAATAGAATTTCAAGAATCACTTAAAAACTAACCCATATTGGTAGTTAGTTTGTTGTTTGTTCTTATTCTTCCTAAATAACTATTGTAATATATACAAAACAAGAAGCTTTTGGGCTGAATCCATCAAAATTAGATCTTGGATCTATTAATACTTAAAAATATTAATATTTAGTCCACAATTAATGCTCATATAAAGTACTGTTTTACTAAAGCCATGAATGGTAAAATCAATATCATTCAGATTAAAAGAACTTTTTTACTTAATAGTAAGTCTTGGCTTATGTAGATAATCAGAGGTTTAGATAAATAAAAAAGTTATGAGAGAGTAGACTGGTATTTATTTTTGTATCCATTAATTAATATCCTTTGTTTTTCAAGGACATCGACATGCTAATATGTGGTAATGATATTCACAGGCTAGTAGACTTCTTTACATTATATTCTTCAATAATTAAATTTTATTCTGAATAGAAGTTAAATGATAATGTTGGGAAATCAGTTTGAGTGAAGATGTTAATTTTAGTTAATCCATCAACTAACTACGGCTCAGAGCCTAACCTCTGGTGTTTTCTTCTGCTGTACCTATTGATGCATAAATTAATTTTAATTAACTGAACATGATCTGCCATAGAAACAGAATTTTTATAAAGAGAATTATTTTTCAAAGATGCATACATACTACACCAATTTTTAGAAAATGTCATAATGTTGAAGAAATCAAGATCCCGGTACCTTGGGGGCATATATCAGGTATGTGAAAAAAATACTAATAAACGTAAAATAAATAGTAATTAACAAAAAATAAGCTTAGATGAATAAAATTTTAATTAACTTTACAATACATGAATAAACCATGTTATAAAGTTAAATAAAGAAAATGTTATGTCTTCAGATTTTCATATTTTTCAGTGAAAGTTAGCATGATTTATCCAAACTGGATATATTTATACTAAACATACTATAGATCATATAACTACAAATTTATAATTGAAAAACATTCAAAATTTTTAATTTGAAAAAATGCATTAATGTTTATCAACCATTGTAACAATTTTTACTCCTAAAATTTTCATTATTAATAGTAACAAATCGCTACTGTTAGTGCAAAAGGTTGTAAATAAAAATTAAGACTTTTTACAGAAAAGCATAAAAAACGATCATTTCTCCATTATTTCTTTGTATGATTTCATATCTTATTCCTCTCTGATATTTTTCTATTTAGCAGACTACTAAAAGCAGTTACAGACTACAAACTGTCACCTTTAGAGCAAAGAGAATAAACATTTAAAATTGATACATATGACCTTTAGCACTAACAGTAGCGATATATTCAACAGAATGGATGTCCGTGTCAGATAAAGGGAAGTGTTAAGACCTGGTATTTACAAAACTTAAAAAGTAATGTAAAAACTTATTTTTCCTACTGATTGATTTTATATCTATTTTTCTTACACAGTAGAAAAAATAACAACACTATTAAATTTTTTTCTAAATTCATTCATTTCAAGTTTTCATTAATGATTTTATATCACTAGTGTTTGTTTATATTACATTTTTTGAAATGGTAATTTCCATTGAATTATTTACTGGTTGACTGTACCAAAAGCATTTGTTTTTATTTCTAAATATTAAAAAAAAAAAATTAATACATTCATTACTTTTTATTTGAACAACAATACTGTTTAAACATTTCCTACTTTCTCTTCTTTACTCTTGATTTATAAAATATGGTAATCTTTCAATGTTAGTGAACTTTTTCTTCTCATTATTGGGATACTTATATTGTAAGGTAAAGAAGACAAGAGTTATCTACGTTATGTAGTATGCTTAAAAGCAAAGTTTTGTTATTAATTTGGAATAGTTCCTACCATTGATTTGAAATATATCCAGCCTATATAAAGTGGTTTAACCTCTAAATTAAATAGTTAAGCTAGTTTGGTCACACCACCTTCTTGCATGAACCTTGACCAAGTTTTTCTTTACAAAGCACTGAACCCTTGGTTCATTATGGGGCAAGTTATTTTATGAATATAACGTTAATATAAATAATTTTTCAGGGAAATGGTGGGGAAAGAGAAATATTCAGCCTATTATAGCTCTTCATGGACAACAAGACAATGCTGGTTCATGGGATCCAGTGTGTGAACTGTTACCGGATGAATATTCTGTACTTGCAATTGACCTTCCAGGTCATGGATATTCATCATGCCTGCCCCCTTTTCAAAATTATTCCCATATTGACTTTGTAGGAATTTTAAGAAGAATTAAGAAACATTTAGGCATGGAAAAAATGCACCTTTTAGCACATTCTGAAGGTTCTGCTGTTTGTTTTTCTTATGCTACAATCTTTCCAGAAGATGTTATATCATATTTTGGTGTTGATTATCTAACAAATTGCTATGAAAATGAAACAGATAAAGTTGATTCTTTAAGTAATGTTATTGATGAAAAAATTAAGTACAGCTTAAGAGATAATGAATTATCAAAAACAAGATCTTGGAACGAATGTAAACAAACTTGGGTTAATGCTTTTCCATGGTCGCTGAACGAAAAATCAGCAGAAATATTAATGAAGAGAGGAGTTGTCAGAATGGCTGATGGAAAATACAGATTTAGTCGAGATCAACGCATGAAGGCTTATGAAGCTTGTATATTTACTCCTGACCTAGTCATCAAATTAGCTGAGAAAATAAAATGTCATGTCCGACTGGTCAAAGCAACAGGCAGTCAACTTTTTGATTCTGGACTCAGGTATTGCCCTGATATCTTTGATATAATTCAGGAAAAGGCAAAATCATATAAGTTGTACAACATACAGGGAGATCACCATGTCCATATGGATGAACCAGACAAAATTCTTTCTTTGTTCCTTGAACTTCATAGAAAACCTTAGATGAATATTTGATTGGTAAGATAAAAGACCAAGTGAAGTTATTCAAAACAATGATTATCCTTTTATTAAGAGAAACATAATTTTATGTTTTTACTTCTTGGTTTGACAATTTAAGCTTTTTCTAATAATTTGAGAACTTGATTGTCATAAATAAATAATCCCTCCAAATAATATTGATAATTTATATATGTATTTTAAATAATCTTATCCTGTTTAAAGAAGATAATTAATTTTTATAGTAAATTATGTTCTATAATTAATAATATATAGTTAATAATTTTTGCTTTTTGAGCAAACATACAAGTAATGTAAAATATATCATGAAATAAATCATAATTTATTAATATAATAAGCCAGACCAATATTATTGAAATTATTCTTTTGTATTATTCTAAGGAAACTAGATCTCTCACAATAAAATTTACTTTTCATTTCATTAATTTAAACAGTATGGATTATTTTATTTATTTATTTTTTTTTTGCATCACCACATTTGTAATACTAAAGAAATTGTCATATTAAAAAAAAATATATAAAAATATATTGACATTGTATATTTTTTATTTATATTTTCAACCGATTTGCTGTTTTATATATACTAAAACTTTGACTGTATCAAAACCTTACAATTAGTGATTTAATACCAAATCAAATAGTATTGATTAGAAGAAAAATAGAAAAATGTTTACTTGTAAGGTTTAAAACAATTTTAATTCACAAAAGGTTTAAGTCATCATCATCACGATATGTGTACCTTAATAATTTCTAGAATAAAAGTATTCCTTAAATTAGTTGGGTGAAAATAGCTTGAAGCCATAAAATATAGTTGAACAATACCTACAAACCATAATTTTTTTAGGAACTTAACAGAGCTCAATGTGACCTAAAACAATTTCTTGCTTCCTATAACCCTAATCCGTTGTCCTACTTTGGGCCCATTATCGTCCTGAGAACTTTGCAAATATTTTTCTCAAGGGAGCCCACAAGAGACCATGTCTCTCTGCTAAATATCACTATTGGTTTTATAATTTTGTTGTTTTTCATGAAATCTGTAAATTAATGTTAGAGCCACTGAGAAGACTTTATTTGTACTGAGGATTCTTTAGTCATGTTCAATGAGTTAACGAAGATTATTGTGCTTCCAAGGAATCAGAAACTACTTAACAAAGGTTTACATTCATATACTTTATTTTGTATTAGTTAATTTTAAAGTCTATATCTTTCACTGCTGTAATCAGTGAACCAATTGGCACCTAAATATATCATCTACATTACTATTGTTACATCATCTACGTGAAGTGTTTGCGTATTATTTGTATGTAACCATCCTGCGTTCCGCAGCATTTCCCCATTAAACTTTCCAATACCAGATTGAATAGTATTTGGAAAAGGCTAGACTTCAAAAGGCTTCAGTCATTTCTTGATAACCTAGCAGTGGAATCATTTATGAAAATCTTTTTAATTGCTCTAACTTTGGTAGAAAATTTTACCACCAAAGAAAGTTTTTATCAAAAAGTCTAGTTCTTGACAACTACTGTTTACGGTTATTTTACGTAATAATGAAAAATCATTGTTTACACTAAATATTATAAGAAATTATTTCGGAGTATTTTGGATTCATCTGGACTGAGCAATGTGATATTTTAATTATTGAAAATGCAAGAGGCTGAATGTTAAATTTAGATATATTACTTGAGAGTTTTAGGAGAGGATGAAATAAAATTAGGTTAATTTTGCCCAATAGTTTACTCTTTAATTCTAATTAATTGACTGAATTAAACAGTTTTTCATTATAAAAGTGACTTTTTCCCAGTCTTACAATTTGCATTAAAATAAAAAAAAAAATTAATATCAGTTTATGACTATTTAATGATAAGTATTTTCGGTGTGGAATATCTTGAATCTAGCAGGAAAAACTGCTTTTCAATTGACAGTAAAATTAGTTATGCAGTATAGAAGTACAAATAATTTATAATTGTATTTAACTAATATAACTAGACCTGTTTCAACAGTCAGTCTATCAACTGCCTCCTGCAGTGTCACATGCCACGCCCTGATGAAGACCTGCAAGATGGGTCAAAATGTGGCTTAATAATTAAAAAAACTAGTTTTTAAAAACTTAGTATTTATTTGACAGCACCCTCCCCCCCTCACGTCCAACTCCTTCTCACAAATAATTTATAAAAACAAATGTGTATAGAAACTCACAATCACAATTTTTCATAATACAAAAGAAAACTATAAAATCAGAAAACTATTTATAATGTTCAATCTCAACATCTATACTCTAGAACTGTGATCCTTCAATATCTGATGTGAACTGTAGATATGATATATTTCAACATTACATTATCATTACCTATATTTTCTTTGAACCTAGTCTCATAAAATATTCAGTAGTAATTCTAATTTACATTTAAAATTAACTAAACTCTGCATACTTCAATATTTATTCAGGTGTTAGCTATTTTTAAGGTTACATCAATAGAGGAACAAAATATAGATATCCATATAAATTCTTTTTTTAAAAAGTTTTGTGGTTCAATGGTCAACAATGCTTAATTCCAGTGGTTGAAGATTTAATGATCTCAAGTCAAAACAAAAAATAAAATACAAATATAATATTAATTCTATCTTTAGCACCTGTAAAAAGAATGTTAATTGCAATTTATGTCCTTGATGTGATGGGACACTGTGAAGCTGCCAAAAAATTTGCAAAGATATTTTGCAGATTGCACATTTAATTTAATGTTCAACTTTTATGTTTGGTTAATAAATAAATAAATAAAGTTCAATTTTGTGAATTGTTTAAGTTTATCAACAGACAGCTAATTTTTTTTCTTTTTTTTTTTATTCTAATGAGCAAAGTTATGCGGCTATTACAGAGATGAACAGTCCTTTGTGAACATGGGATAAAACACAAAAATTGAACTTGCACCTGTGAAAATTCCAAGCTTTCATTAAATTTAACGGGCTATGCACAGATATCATAGTTATAATTGCTCATATGAAAAAATTCATGTCCATTCAATTGTTGATATAAAAAATTAAATGCAACCAAACTAATATTTTTGTAATACCTACTGAAATTATCAAATTAATATATAAATAAATGTAATAAATATACACCATAAAAAAGTTATCATTGTGTACTTATCGTTAATTACTGTTAACAATGTAAATTTGTTATTTTTTTGGAAAATTGAGTTTAATTAAAATAAATAATTATTCAAATAAAACTGAATAATAATCTTAAACCCATCATTACCATTACTTATAAATGTAAACAGTTTCCACAAATGCTGCCAAACCACTCAAGGATTTCCATTTTCATCATCTTAAATTTAATCCTATCATCATGAAAAAAAAATTTAAAAACACAAAACTGACAATAATGATTAACATTAGGACCAATAAATTGATACATTTTTAAATGTGATCCATTGTGTGGCGGGTGCGTAACTTTTCCCAAACCTATGTTATTGAAATTTTCTTTATTTTAAAAATATACTAGGTTTTTAGATCTTAATGGTCTGCTGTTTGGAATAAGTACCTTCTGAGAGAAAGGCTAATAAACCAATAAAATACATACAATTTTTAATTTACTATGATTTGGGGCTTTTATTCTGGTATGCGCTTAACTATTCATTAGTTAATTCAGATTTATACTCAAGAAAATAAGTTTGTTCCGAGGAGAATCATTTTCTTGAAGTTGGACAGATAAAAATAACACAGCTCCAACTTATTGTTTCGTTTTATACTACAAACTTATTAAAAATAGTAAACAATTATTTTATCAAAAACCTTCCACTTCTATGATGGTTGATGATTTAAAAAAATTATTTTATGAATATTTGATTATTTTCATATATATATATATATAAAGAGTTTATGTATTCGTCCAGAAAGTATAACATTTAATAAAACTAAGATAATTTGTATTATTTTTAATACAATGATTCAGTTGAGAGAGTGAGAGTTAAAGATATTGGGGGAAGTCCTGGTTAAATTCATTGAAATGATGTATTGAACCATATTTTAACATTAAATAGGTATTAATTATATAAATAATTAAATAAAAAAAATTAAAACCAAAACAATTTTCAAAAAATTAAAAACATCCTATGGAAAAACCCTTATCTGTCTTAAAGGTCAAATAAAATTTTATATTTACTTAAACAATATATTGGAGGGCTGTTAGGGGAGAAAAAAATACAATCGATTTTAAGATTGTTTTATTCGAAAATTAATTTATGAATGAACAACTAAATTTTAAGTGATTTTTTCATTTATTTATTTTATGTTAGTCGTGACTAACAAATAAAAAATAATTCATAGTCGTGAATTAAAATTTAGTCATCATTTGTCAAATTAGATAAATTTTTGCCCAACTCTGTTTTGACATAACAATTTTCATCAATTAATTAAATCATAAGCATGTTTGTCACCCTGTTTGAATACATGATTTAAGTTGGAAAATAAATTGGCCCCAACACATTATGTAATAACTAATGCAGTTTTTGATATTTGTCAACCTGTTTTTGTCATATGCACTCCCTTTATTTTAAGTAAAGATTTGTCTTACACCAGTCCCAGGTTAGGACCTCTCCATATATTCCTAGCTTCATTATATAATATAAACGTTTTTTTAACATTTAAATTGGGATGGGTAGATGTTCAAAGATATATTTTATATTAGCAACAAATACTTCTATTCGTAGTCAAATACTTTACTTCTATGCTACACTGCCCAAATAATTTGGTAATTAAAGTTTTATAAACACATTAGAAAAGTTATCACTCTATATATAATAAAATGCAGTTTTTGATTAAACTATACACTGTTAAATATCATCATTAAATGACACTACATTATCGGGTTTTTTAAATTTTAACTTCTTCATTACATCCTACCTTATTATTATTTTTTTCATTTTTAGTGACCTCTTCATAGATTCATAACATAAAGAATTGTATATATAATTAAAACTAAGTCAACCTTTACGTGCTTAGAAACACAATAAAAGTGTATAACATATTATATTCTCATAACAGTTATAATAATAATAATGCTTTATTTATTCTGGGATGAGTCCCTTTAGAATAATACAGAAAGATAATAATGTTGATTAAGGAGCCTCAGAGATACATAAACAATAATATAATTTAATTAAATAGTCAAAATAAAAAAGAAATTATAAGTTATTTTCTAATTTAAATCAGTTAATAATAAAAAATAAAAAATTGAAAATAAACATGAAGCAAAAATAATGAAGAATGATCTAATAGATTATATACATACTTACAGTATTAACTATTTACAATTTTATGAGAACTGGATGGATAAGAAATGATTAAACAGGCAGGATTTAAAGAAAGGAAGGGTTTTGGATTGACGGATGTGGAGAGGGATAGAGTTCCAAAGGGATGAGGAATCGGATAATGAACTATCTGTCAAAAGCAGCGGTTCGGTGGGTCCTTATGTATAAATCAGAAGACTGGGAAGGAGTATTGTGGGAACAAACAGAGGATTTGAATTGAAGGAGCTCGGAGATGTATGAAGGACGGTGGGATTGGATGACTTGAAAGAGGAAGGATGCCAGGAAATACTTAAAACGGTAGGAAGGAAAAACTTCAACTCTACATGAAAACGGGAAACAGAGGCGTCCCCTGGGATCCCGAAGATGAATCGTACAAAGCAATTTATCAAACGTTTTAATTTCGCCTCGAGATCCCCAGAGACGCCCCCATATACCGTACAGCAATAGTCAAAGTGGAGAAAAATTAAGGAAGTTACTAGGAGCCTACGGGTTTCAAGGGAAAATAGGTGACAGGAGTAATTTAGACGTTTTAAGGTGGAAATGGTACGGCAGGAGATGTTGGATATATGATTTTTCCAGGAAAGCGTTTGATCAAAGATCATTCCAAGGTTTTTGATGGAGGGATAGAATTTGATGGGATTATCATGTAGGAACAGAGTTGGAATATTAGGAACAGTTTTAAGGAGGTGATTGGAGCCTATTAAGATTGCCTTCGTCTTTTCTGCATTCAAATTCAACTTGTTAGCTCTCGCCCAGTCACAAATCCTATCCAAGTCTTCTTGAAGTTTTTCTGTGGCTGATAATAGGTCGGTAGGCAGGAAGGACAGATATAATATAAAGAAGGACAGTTATATTATCATAATGATGTAATAAACAAAATATAGTAAAAAAGAGCTATCTATGGTATAGAAGAAAAAAATATTAAATTAAATACAGAAATATAAGTAAATAAAAAATATTTAGATAATTTTAGCTGGTAATTATTCTTAATAATATATATGACCACAAAGAAAATATTTTAGATTTTTTTTTCATATCTTAAACTATTTTATTGTAATATAAAACACTACTATAAAATGAAATAGAATTTTTTTTTTTTGAGCAAATTTAGTTCACATTTTTACCTTCAGAGGTAATGAGTTTTCAGAATAATTCTAGAAAAAATAATTATCTACCAGGTTTAACGAGGACCAAGATATGATATTGTTCTAGTAATAATATTTAGAAGGAAATAAATAAAATTGGTGAGATAGAGAAATGGAGTTACATCTACATCTATGATCTCACTTTTAACAAATTATAGGGATGAATGAAATTGAGTGGACTATAAAAAAAATAATTAAAATATTTTTTTCAAAAATAAAATAATATATGCAATGCAATCCTTATCAATATTAAGTAAATTGAAAAAAAATTATGGGAATAATTTATAGAGGAAGAAAACAGAGATTAAGTAATTAACTAATGTTGATAATTCATAAGTATAATTATTGGTGATACAGGTGTCTAGTGCCATGCAAATACACTTTTAACTTCAACTGGTTGGCCCATCGATGAGGTTCTCATGTAGAATTGTAATTACCAGATAAACCAATGAATAATAAAGAGATGTATTTAACACAGCTGATTGGTCTATAAGATAATCCCAAGAGGACATATAAATATGTCTAGCACTAATGTTAATCATTCAGGATAAAACCAAGGTAAGTGAATCTCATTCATCATTTTATTATCATGATCCGAGGTGGCTTAATAAAAGATGGCCAAAGGACCTCCAAAATTAAAATGATCATTAATTTAAATTACCAATGGTTGGTCTTTTCACTAACTGCTATCATATTTTACATTCTTAAAGCAGATTTACTTATTGTATTTCTTTTCTTATCTTTAGTTATTTATATTTATTTTCCTTTCTTATGTATATATTGTGTGAATGAATACTGTAGTCCTAGTACCAATGCCCTTCAGTGTTGTAGACTGTATTAATGCTCAATGAAATCATTAAAAGGCAAACTTATTGTATTTTATATTTACAGTTGTAAATTACAATAAATGAATAAAAAAAATTATAAAAAACTATTTCTTACTAGATGGAACGAGGATTTTTAAACCATGGATTATGTGTTTAATTGTTGACAGATGAAGCCATACTACGTCATTTATTTACTTGCGGTATGTTCTTTGGCAATAGCTGATTCAACAAGCTGTTCTTGTGGCCATTCATTAAAGGTAAGCCTGGTAAATTAATTTATTAACACAGATGTATATAGATTGCTGAACTGTAAGGGTCCTGCCACCAGTTGGGGATTATAAAAAATTATATAGGACATGAGATAAATTAATCTTAGCCCCTTAATAAAGTAACTGAATTAGAGACCTCTTGAATGCAATACAATTTAAACATAAAGTAATATAAAATCGTTTAAGAAATTAATGTGAAATGAAATTTTTAGGGTAAATCCAATTATGATGTGATTATTTAGAGCAGGGGCCTCCAAACAATGGCCCATGGGCTGGATCCGGCCCCCAAGCACCTCCATTCTGGCCTGCGAAAGTTTCTTTGATTACATGGAAAAATTTTAAAAAGTATTTCAAAAATATGAAATTCAAAAAATTACTTACACACACGGTTACTACAACATTTATTGCATGGGTTCTTGTCTCTTAAAAAGCGTATTTAAAAACTGAAATGTCACTTATGATACAAGATTTTTATTTAATAGCCTGTGAGACTTAGTGGAGGACTCAGAGTGGCCCACAGTCCAAAAAGTTTGGAGACCCCTGGTCAAGAGTACCTGTGGAGAACCTGCAGCCTCAACGCATGTAGAGCTATTGATTAATATTAAATTATTTAGGTTATGAAAAATTGAAAATTAAGTTAAATATATTGTAACATCCCTCTTATATTTTACAAATAATAATATTATAACCTCGAAAGATCACTTTATACTTTTAGGATACTTTCTAAATAAATAAGAGGTTATTAAATAATAAAAAAAATCATAAAAGTATTAATAAATTTATTTATCTCAGGTGTGGGTTACTGAAAATCAGATCAACTCAGACAAAGTAAAAATTACTATACTAAACACTGTTTGATTTTAAAATAAAGTCAAGTATTAATTGGCAAGCTAACTTTTTTTCTATATACACTGCTTCTTCCTTTGTTGCACTAAATTCATTTGTCTACTAACATTTTCCTATGTTCTGCTAAACACATCTTCCAGAATGGTAATACTATTACTGGGTTTTACCCACTGGAGCCAGGTCCCTTCTCCTATCATCTCTTCACTGCAGTCACACAACAACTCTTGCCAAAACAAAAACCTTTGTCCCTCGCCTCTTTGGGATTTTCCTTCTTGGGAAACTACAGAACACTTCTTTTCTCTGCACTAGTGGAACTAGATTAGCTTGGCTTTTAATTGTTCAACAGTAATTTATCAAATCACTTTTACCCACTTCCAATAAAGGTGTACATCACAATACGTATATGGGTGTGCACATTTGTATTCACTAATAAATAAATAAAAATAGCAACAGTAAAATTTAAAAAAATTATTCCAGCCTCCATTATCTCTGCCTAACCTTAATGTGTCATCTAATGATAAAAAGGTTCCCACCCTCTTTGGTCTAGAGATTCCAAATGTCTGAGGGCACTCATAGAAAACAGAAATAGAAGATTTTTTAATTTTTATTTATTTATTTTATGACAGAAAGCATACAAGGATGTAAAATAATCCTAATTTAAGCCATGGATATTTAGTATTTTCAATTTTAGGCTGAAGAATTCACTACTGTTTATGTCATATATTATAAGCTAAGTTATGTCATATTCACACTAATAATTTATTAAACTGTTACTGAAATTTAATAATAGACATTTATTGTTAATTTTTAATATTATTACAAGTTATTTCAACAATAGTATACAGTTAAATATTTTTCATGAGCAGAAACATGACGGGCAAGAAGATTTCCCATTTGTAGTAAGAGTTGTTAATACCATTACAAATAAGACCATGTGCACTGCTGCAATACTGACAGACAGTCATCTTGTAACATCAGTACACTGTAGTCGCTTCATTGGTAAACAACCAGTGTACGCAGTCGCTGGAGAGGGTAAGTTTGATATTTCCAATCCAAGTCAAAATATGCAGATGTATTAAACAAATCAGATAAACTTACTAATATTGAGAAAATTATACTTGTATGAAACATCAAGCAAAACCTAATCATATCAATAACCCATTGGGCTTAACATAGATGCATTTCTTGTTTATTTTTTTAGGTTCAGAAAATGTACAAACTCTAAAGATCAGCAGAAACCATCAAGAGCACGCTATCTACAATCCGGACAACTCATTGAATGACATTGCTATTCTTTTCCTTGAATCACCTCTTAAATTTAGTGAAACTGTCATTCCAATATGTGTGCCTGATGGCAGGACTGGTGGTGGAGTTTACAAACTGCTGAATCAAAATGTTAAGCTAATAGGTATTTTATCCCAAACTAACTTATAAATATTAGATAATAAGTATATTTTCTGATTGTCATAGCATGAAAAATTAAATTCTACATTTAATTTGGTTGCCCTCACCTTACAGCCTGGTGCTGTTCTGCTGTCTTCCTGTTCCTTCATCCAAAAAGGACTGGACTGATTTATGGTTGTCAAAAATGAGTTTTCTTTCATATTATTTCTTTATTTAAATTAGAAATTATGAATTTATATGGGTAATATTCACCCATGATTATATTAGTAGTACCACATGATCCATCCAGTACATTTCCCTCAGTCATTATATATGATCTTAAGTTCAAAGTCGATTCTTCTTCTGACTTAATATCTTCATATACTATCATAAATATGGTGTTGGATCTTTTTTTTTTCCAAATCAGTAAAGAGCTCGTATGAAGAAATGAAAAGATCAAATTAAGCTTTAATAAAACTCAATTGTTACCAAACATTTGCTTGTAATCCTCCTAGATGATATTCCATTTTCTGGAGTATTTAGCGATCCTTACCTCAATATTCTCGAGAAGACCTGTCGAGACTTCTCTTTAGAACATCAATTTCAATTAGTCTTCTTACTGAATAGGTCAAAAGGTACACATCCTGCTAAGACTTGTACCGCATCATGAGACACATTTCTGTATAACTTGGTGATTCGCAATATAGCCGTACGTTGGATCATTGCCAATCTTCATTTCAACTGGTGTGAAAGGTTCTGAGACCATGTAGGAGAGTTATATCTCAGAATACTGAGGATCACCCCATTATAAATTACTTTGAACTACATGTGCCTCCCATCTTAATCTCCTTGCCTTCATATCATGAGACATTAGTCAACCAGTTTCTACAAGCAGTTATTGGTCCTTATCCTCCATATATTGGTGTTCTGATGTTTTTTTAAATTTATATTTAATGATAATAAAGAAAAAGTTTTATCTACGTTATTGAGTATTTATTTTTCTGTTATAAATATGCGTAAACATTAAATTTTACTTTAGAAATATTTTATTTATTTTTTTATTTATTAGTATTAAACCTAATATCTCATAATTAATTACTTCTTTATTTATTAGTCAATGATATTGGCAATTATAATATGGGTAATACATATATGTGTGTGCGTATATATTCAACTCACATTAAATTAAATGATGGAGATAACACTTATTAAATCATTAAGTTAATCAGTTACCTTAATTCCAACTTTTACTAAAGGAAAAAATCATTAATTGAATTAGTTCTCATGTTCAGTTTAGCTCTTTTCCTTCTTAAATCATATCTTCTAAACCAGGTTGGGATTTGGAATCTTCATCTCTCAAAACAGTTGATGCCAAAGTATCTCCAGCAAACCCTTGCAGAAAAGTGTTCCCTAAATACATTCCAAATGTCCTGTTTCCAACACAGATGTGCACATTTCAAGAAAAGGGAGCCTGCATTGTAAATATTAAAAAAAAATCATGATAATATATCTATTTTTCTATCTTAAATTTTAAGCTTATAAAAATGACTTATTGCAGCAAAATATGGGTAGCCCAGTAGTTTACCTGGATCCTAAAATAAACAAATATGTCTTGGTTGGCATAGTTTCCTATGGTAAATTGGAGTGCAATTCGAAATTCCCAACAGTGGAAACTGATGTGTCGGTTTACTTACGCTGGATTGAATATGTAGTCAAAAGTAAGTAAATGAAAGTAATGTTCGTTTATATCACATCTTACCAATCACATAAATACTTTATTAACTTTTTTTCAGGACCACTTTGTCATATAGCCTGAACATAAAAAAAAAAACTTCAATAGAGATGTTCTACTGGAAATTGTCTTTCTTAACTATAGCCTAGATCTTATTGAATTCCTAAGTAGTCTATATTATATTAGGATTTCCCACAAATTGCTAATTAAATATTACTAAAAAAATCCAAGTTCTTAATGCATCACCAACCAAAATAATAAGGACCAAACTAAACTTGATTCTTGATAAGCAGAATTTTAGAAAAAAGAATCGAATTGTAAGAGTCTCCTGAAATACAGTAAACATTCGAAAAAAACCTTAAAAAAAAAAAAAAAAAGTGTTTGGACTATAAAAGTAAAGTGTTCTGCTTTAAAACATAAAGTAAATAATTTATCAATGCCAAAATTTCAATATATTTGTATTATATTGAAATCAAGAAGAAGATAGGAAAGACAGGAAAAAACAACAACAGTAAAGTGAATTATAAAAGTATAATTCACTTTACTATTGTGCCCAAGGGCTTAAACAGATTAATCTTGTTTCCATGCAGTATAGAAACCATCTTCTGAACAATGATATCTCCACCATCTTGGTAAATAGAAAGATGTTGTGGCAACCAGGGGTGCTTATCCCCCCACTCTCCCAAGGTCGATGGCACAAGAATTTACCCCTCCCCTCTGCTCCCAAGATACTTTATTGCTCATTTTTCTTAAAAACAGAGCAAGCTAAGGTAAAATTCGAAAAATCTTAGATTGCATACAAATACACTTGTTGCAATCTGTTCCATGTTTTCTCCTTGTCTTTAAGTCCAAAAATTCATAACCCCATAATTCGCCTCCCTCAAAAATTTTGAGGGCAAAACTTGCGCCATGAAACCCCCTTCTAGGCATCGCTGGAGGCAGCCATCTGCCATTTTCCCATCAGAACTAGAAACCTATTCATTTTTAGCTTGTGAACGTTTTATTTTATTTCATAGCAGGCTCTGAAAATTAATCTCCGCCTTCTAATACTAATTAAGAAATTTTAACCTGCAGGAGAATTCATTCTTTCTATGTTAATTATAATATGGATTTATAATGAAATAGAAAAGCCAATCTTAACTTAGCTTGCATGTCCATTCTCCCTTCAATAAGGTTAAATTTTGTCAAAGACTTTTATGACATGGATAATGCTTGATTATGCAAATTTTAAGATTGATTAAAATAAAAAAAAAACGTTAAATTAAATGTTGAAAGTAATAAACCGCCAGTTGGTCAAAAAGGAGTGAAAATTGGAAGATGTACTCTTCATGACTAAAATTCATGGCTTCTATTTCATTGTTACTAAATTCATTATGCAACAGCAAATTTCATTTATTGGTAATAGATGATAAATTACTAAAATGTAGGACTATCCAAAGTCTATAGCAGCACTTAACAGTAAAACCATTGGAGATTTTAAAATTACAAGAAGCCAAAGCCTCAAGGCTTTGGAAGGATCCTTGTTTATATTATTTTAAAAATGCTTCACAGAACGCACCCAAACTTCTGTTTCAACAATAAAACAATGTCATACATTACTGAAGTGATTAAACAGTTCAACATTGGTATCTACTGTATAAAAAGTTATGTGGCACATTAGTGGATTCAAAGGTAAACTTGTTCAGGCTGAAGAACTCCCCAAAAAAAGAATTATTTTTCATTGGTCCATGTTTGTTTTCAGTGATCTGAGCCAATTACTTAAATAGTATGTTCTCTTTTTAAATACTAAATGTGAGCAGTGTAAAAAAAATAGAGTAGTTGTAATCCACAAAATTATATAATTAATCTACTAGAGATATGAAATTGGTGGTATAGCAGGATTCATTGATTAAAAGAATAAAAATTAACTAAAGTTTGAACAGTAGCATAACCAAGAGTGAGTCTGCAAAGAGACAAACATCCAAAAAATGACCAAATTGGAAATAACTCACACCATAAATACAAATCACCAAATCTAAATGCTTATAACCAGATATTAATGTAATTTATAAATGTAGGAAAAATAATAATAATAAATATCCACCTTTTAGTATGAATTTGTTTTTTGAAATAATTAAAATCAGTCTACCCTTATTTCCACCACTTTGAGTCAATCTTAAAAAAAAATTCTAGTAATTTTTCTAAATTTAACTTTGGAATTTTATTTTTTCAATATTTAAAATCTCACATAGCCTAATACAAATCGAGAGTGTAGCCAAAAGTGTGAGCAATGTTTTTAAACTTATGATTGGGGAGAATTAAGTTTTTGATCTTATTCTGCTTAATACAAAGCTTTCTATTTAGGTGAACCAAAATATACTATGATGCGATCCAACATTTTTTGCTTCAATTGTATTTTAGCAATCCAACGTTAGGTGTAACCTTAAAACTATTGAAAGGAAATATATAAAATAACAATTTTAGATTATGAGGCAAATGTAAGAAAAATAAACCTTAATAATATTATTTTTATTAAACATTACTTCAGTTAGCATCAACAGGGGTGCTCAGAAGGAGATTTCATGGAGCAAGTTGTGCCATAAAAATTTGATTCAAGGAAAACAAAAAGGTTTCTTTAAATAAGATATACATAATCTTGATGAACATTATGCTAAATGTATTGAAGTTAACAGAAGAGAGAGAAATACTTTATTTAAAGCAATGCAGCTATTTACGGTTGCTCGACACAGTATACTCATAAATCCTTTTTTTTTTTGTATAGCACTTAATTATACTTGAATCACACATTTATATATATACAAATTCTTTTCCATATCACTCATCATATACAATATTAATAATATACTATACCAACATAATCACTATTATACAATATATATATTTAACCGATACAAAACAATCTGAAATTTATAAAAAAAAAAAAAAAACGATATTTGAATGGCAAAATTAGAACGCACACATACCAAGTAACATAATCCTATGAGCACAGATAAAAAGATATGATTTGTTAAAATACTTAAAATTGAATAAATTATAATAAATATCCATAATTAAACCTTAATTACTATATACGTGATGATGTAAGATCCCAAGGGAGTCTAGAATAATGCTCTCGGCTGACACTGCAAGCTCCCGACATCAACACCCTAGTTTCTGGAAGAAGCTCCTTGTTCTTTTAGGTATCGTTCTGTTGTAGATGGCCTCTAGTATTTACTCCATAATGTGACATTGAGTGAAGGAATTTGAAGGAGTGAATAGGAATGCAGGGTTGCTCTCTGAATTGTACTCAATTATGGAGTAGACAAACTGTTTATTGAAAAGTATCAAATCGATAAACAATCCACAAAAAAGGTACAGACAAAGAAAGGAAGAAGCATGGAAAAATGCCGGTAGGTGGCAGCAGCTGGAGAAGGAGAGAAAAGAAGAACTCACTTGAGGCATGGATATGATCAGATAACTACGGGACGGCAGAAGAGAAGCCCACTACACTTAAGTTAAGAAGACCAACTCATTTATTCAATTTATTACAGTTGTGGAAATAAATTATTTTGTTATACAGAAGTGAATAGTCCTTTAGTTGTCCTATATGCCTCACAATTGAAGAATAACAAACCAGATGAGTCAATTCATTTAAAGTGTATTTACTCAGTCCCATATTTCATATATATATTCTTATTATTTCTTGTCACTCAGTGTCACAAAAGCATTAGGTTTCCGAATTCTCAACAGTTAAACCCCCTCAAAAAGTTTTATCCAGGGTTTTATTTTAAGAAAATTAAATTCACGAGTGTAAATAACCTAGACCCCAGACAAAATGGAAGGCTATCTACATTTGCCGCCCCAACAGGTTATTTACAATTGCCGCTCGAACAAGGCTATTTATAATTGCCCAAGAAACAGGTTATTTACAATTACCACCCGAACAAGGTTATTTATTATTGCCGCCCAACAGGTTATTTACAGTTCCATGAGACCCAAACCAGAGGCCTCTCATGGTGAACTCTCTCTCCGAAGATCTCGCAGAATTTCTCTTTTAGGAAAGGGATACATTTATCGTATATTTTCTTCTTTTCTTTTTCTACTTCACTGGCCTGATTCGAGGTCATTGCTCTCATAGTAAACAGTTGGATCTAAAACCAGTGCCGCCTATGATGGCCTTGCTACTCCTGTGGAAATTTATATCAATTCCCTCCAAAAACGAAGGACGTATCTTTGTAAGGGTAGCCGTCTGGAGAGAATAGTAGGTAAGTCCTGGGAATACATATTGATTGACAACATTGATCTTTTGCTTCGGTTTAAGAAGGCAAGAGCTCACCAGTTTATCCAAGCTGTCGTTAAATTTTTTCAACTTTTCTTCATTCATCACTAGCTCTCCCGAAAACGTTCATCATAAATATTTTACAGTATCATCTGCCTTTGATGTGTGAATGATTTCTCCGTTCTCGAGAGAGAACTTTGTTTGTTGCAGCTCTCCTTTATCTATTATTAGGCCCATGCTTTTTTTCGGATGAATAACCAGACCGATCTCGGTGATCCTGTGTACACAGTTAATTATCACTCTGCAGCACCCTTGTCGCGTGCTGTGGCAGCCTGTCATCTTCGAAGCCTGTGAGGACCGCACATTCTAGGTTGCTGATTAGCTTGTATCCATAATGCTTGGAAAAGTCTTGCTCACACGGTATAAATGGTCTATAGCCACGATAAACAGTGAAGGCGAAGGTCCACTTTGAGGTACCCCGCACTTTGGTCCAGCTCACCAAGTGGGCTCCGACTCCAATCTTAATTAAGTTAGTATCCAGGAAAGCTGGAATCACCTATGTTAAGTCTGGTGAGACCCCTCTTGCCTCCAGTGAGCTGATGATATGGTCGTGACCAACGTTGTCAAAAGTGCCGACATCCAGAAACACCACCGTATTATCCTTTATGATCGCGTCGATGATTCTTGAGCTGACGTGTATTCCTAGCAGGACCCTGATGAAACCCCTGATTTTTGCTGAAGGAGATCTGTTTCTTCAGTTCGTGGTCCAAACCTTTTCCAGCACCTTTGCCAACCATACCAGTCTTATTTTTCTTTCTTAATGTATAAAATTTAACGGAAGGGTGCGCTGGGTTAGGCAATTCATTATTTGCATTTTTCATAAATTTTAAAAAATTGCCTACTGCTTCTTCAAATTCCATCTTATCTATATTATTCCAAACGAAGTCCTGGAAAGTAGCCGACCACCTGGTTATTTCTTGTTTTATACTATCCTGCTCACCCTCTCCATTTTCATTACTTGTTCTATTGTTAATTAGGTCCCTTAGTTTGTCCCTATTATACTAGTCTTCCTGGGATATTTCTTTGGTATATGGGTTTTGAGACCTCTATACCCTTTGAAAGCCCACAAATCGAATACACTTTGTCGTTGATCCCTGAGGACGGGTCTTGTTTCCTTTCTTTTATTTCAGTACTGTGCTCTCCGGATGTCTGCAGAAAATTGGGCAAACTGGGAAATACACCATTCATTGAAACTGTTTTGCCCAATACTGGTCTTTGTTCGTCCTGCCATTCCACCTTGATGAACGTTTTATCGCCGCCTATCGCTGCAGCCACAGACATCATGGAGGCCACCACTGCTTCTTGGGCTGGGCCCTTCTGATCTCAGAACCTATACTCTCTGCCATACATCAACTCTTAAAGAATTATATAGATCGGATTCCATCACTTTTTATCCTCACACCAATCCACAAATAGGTTAAAATTATGTCTATGTACTAAAAATAAATAAATAATTAAAAAAATATATACCCAGACAAAATAATATTAGTAAATTAAAACTAAATAAATAGATTAAAAATATATACAAAGGTTAAATAATGTCGGCACATTAAAATTCAATAAATAGGTTAAAAATATCTTGAGTGAATTAATTAAAGTGAATAAGTTAAATAGTTTAAACATATAAATACAGATCAAATAGTGTCAGTAGGCTAAAATTAAATAATAATTTATTATCATTAATAAGGAAAATAATCCATCACTTTTCAATAATTTTGCTTTCTTAATACTGAATGTAGATTATCAACATTTTTTTATTTTCATATCTTTTTCAGCCTATTGACTGAAATTTGAAATGATATTTCACATCATATAAATATATTTAATAGTAAATGAGACACGGCAGACTTGGGCAATTAGCCTGTCATAATTTTTACTTACAGTAAAGTTCTCCTTGATATTGACTTTTAGTCTGAAATGTTGGAGATGAAGTCTATAGTAAGTTACACGTGACAGGTATACCACAAACTAACATTAATCTGGTTTTCAAGGATTTTGAATGTTTGTATCAAAATGGTCCCAAATCAATTTCATACTAATTTCAATACAAAATGCTCTTTTGATTTGGTTCCAAAAACAGCTCATTCAATTTGGTTTAAAGTTGGATAAAAGAAATGAATTGAAAAAATGATCAATTAGGTGTCAGTTTTCATTAAACTCCATCCACTACGTTGGTTTTCAAATATATTTAATTGATATGGCTATATTTAAAAAATGCCTTGTTTAATTTGGTTGAAAATCAGATCTTAATTCATTAATTCATCCAGAACCTGTTTTATTAAATTTCATCCGCTTCCATTTATGGATATGAACATGAACATATTTTCCTTGGTATTCTTATTGATTTGGCCCAAAGTTGGAGCCAAGTAAGATAATAGTGTAAAAATGATCTAGTATCAACTTCATCAAATTCCATTTTAAAAATGGCATTAATGTAATTCTTAATATAATGGCCGAGAAATACACTGACAAGCAAAAAATTCCACCCACATGATTTTTTCATCTAAACATATTTCTGCTTTGGATTGGTCTATTGTTTTTAATGAATAAATAGGTAACTTTTTGTTTGTTTTCAATTAGGAATGTTAATATACAGGACAATAACCCTTAATTCAATGAAATGATTCTAGATTCCAATGTTTACTTTCTATGGAATCAAAATATTTATTCAGTATCATTAGTTCAGTGCTGTTTCTTGCAGCACATTTTTTGTCTAGGGCTTTTAATTTTTTCAATATTAAGTTTAAAAATTCCTCTTAGTGCTGAGGATGTTGCGCGTGGTGTGGCACTTATTGATGATGGACGTTCCATTAGATATGCAGCTAATACCATCGGAGTTCCATATGAAACTTTACGAGACGCTGTTAGGCGCTTTCGGGAAACTGGTTCTTACAATAGAAGGTCCGGTTCTGGACGGCCTAGGGTAACAGAACCACGGGATGACCGGTTTTTGACTTTGAGAATTTTACGAAACCGCCACCTTACCGTTGTTCAAGCGCTTCATCAACTCGAAGAAGTTTAAGGTGTGCAAATTTCTGAACGTACCGCTCAGAGAAGATTAAATGAGTATGGATTAATGGCTTTTCGTCCAGTAAGAGGACCAGAACTCACAGAGTAACACGGATGGCTTTTGCTCGAGAACACAGCCATTGGACTATGGACGAATGGAGTGTCGTACTTTTTACAGATGAGTCAAGATTCGCTCTTCGATCTCCAGAAGGGCATGAAAGGGTGTGGAGAATAAGAAACGAAAGATATGCAGCCTGTAATTTTTTCCTGAGCCAACCTTTCCAACGTGGTTCCTTAATGGGTAACAAGTGGGTGGAATTTTTTGCCTGTTAGTGTATAATGGCCGTTGAACATATGGAATGGGAGGTTATAATAGTTTTTAAAGTTAATGGGATTTATTAGAATGCTCTACTAGTTTCCAAATAAAAAAAATACAATTTAATCAAGTATATGCATATCCATAAGGGGCGAGTTGGCTAGCACATGTGGAAAATACACGTCTGGAAATAAATAACAGATAACGTCATAATAAATAAAAGATTTATATGATAAAATACCAGTTTGTGTTCTGGGGCCATGGAGCTTTTAATTCTGGCATTAATCTACCATCTACCCTGGCAGGAAAAAGACGCTGTATAGCCTAAAAGGTGAGGAAAGGATGGACAAAAAAAAGCAGATCCATTCTTTTTTTTTTTAGATGTTTCTATTCACTTTGGAATAATAAGGGATTGAACTTTAAGCCTGATGGTTTATGTTAAAGCAGAAAGGCTAAAAATGCTAGAAGGGCATTTCCTGAAACATTCTGACTTACTTAGCAAGCATTTTTTTAAGATATATAATTATTTTGAAAAGTAAACCATATAATAATCTGCAGTATTTTCAACAATTAGTTGGTGAAAATGTAGTGATCAGTCAATAAGATTTGAAAATTTAAGTTCTACCACATTTAACTGAATAGCGTTATTTCCAAGAACTTAAAGTATTTATTAAAAAAAGAAAATATTCTGAAATTAAAACAAAACATCCATTTCTTAAGTAAAATCATTTAAAATGAAAAAATTCCTTTAAACGAGAGAAAGAATTTTGAAGAGTATTGGGAGAAATGTATTGAAGTCAGCGCAAGTTATAAGAATGGAAATAATATTGTTGTTTTTTGCCTCATATACTACAACTAACAATTCATTTGTTTCACACCCAATTGTAGTATAATAAAATATATTTTAGTATAGTGAGGTAACATAAAAAAAAATTAACAATAGAACAGATTATATTTTATTTATCAACATCTAAACATGTAACTAGTAAAGGATATTTACATCAAAATTTTTGGAAAACATTTTAGGTTTTACCCCTTGTAAGAAAGGTGTAAAATAATTTTAGGCCACATTATTTTTAAAACAATATAAAACATGGAAGCCAAATATTGCCACATGGCAGTCATAAATAACAATGACACAATTCAATACTGTCATACATAATGATACATACATCTTTCTACATAGGAAAAAATAAACAAAAAAAAAAAATAAAATAAAATTAAAACAAAAAAACCTATGTAAAATTAATAAATAAAAATTTACACTCTCGTATCACATCTGTGGCCACAGTCTGACGGATTAAGTCCAGAATAGATGACCAAGTCCTCTTTAATTCAAAGGTACTTTAATTTTTTTTTTTTCCATTTCATTTCTAGGTTTATTGAATAAACATTAAAAAGGAATGAATATACTTCAAACATATTCTTCATGAAGTTTTAGGTCCTATATTCTGCACCACAGTTATTCAGCACACTAAATGCTATAATTAGGTATTAAAAAAGTTTATACATATTAAATTCATTTCATTATACAAATAAAGTTTAGGATTTCAAAATGGTCTATGAAATTAAAAAAATAACTAATCCTACATGATTTATTAAAAAGTTGTAAAGTCAGTATTTCTAAGATTATTTTTTTTTTTTAGTTTGTGCTATCACATTACAATACAAAAAAAAAAAAAAGATATTGTCATTTTTATCCAAAATGAAATGATATATCAAAAAAAAAAAAAAAAATTAAAAAGTTTTACAAACGTATATATATACACACATGTAAATGGTTAATACAAATACATAAAATGGCATATGTGTGTATTTATATGAGAATTACATTGAAAAAATGAAAATAAATCTCAATAATACAAATCTCCTAATATAATGTTAGGGTCATAATGTAAGGATGCAGTGTAAGGGGTAAAACAGTGGCGGGAGTCAGGCGGTCTCATTCTTTAGCTCCTCAGGGAGGGTATTCTTCGGGTGTTTGTTTTCAAAATGTTGCTTATACGTCTTAGGATCCGGCATCTGAGCCTACAAAAAAAAAAGAAAAAAAAGAATGGTTAAATAAAGCATATCATTGTCTTTATAAATGTTCATAGGCAGAGATGGCATCTATGATGATACCCCAGCAAAACTCCTGTTGTCCGAATAAATAAATAAAAGAAACAAAAAAAAATAGGTATCAGTAAACAGGAAAAAATTCACAATTGTCCTGCAGGAAGAAACCAACAATAGATTTCACTTAATCCTTATAAATTACAAATTATAACCTAAATATTATTACTTTTCATACAATAACAACTTGGCAAATATTTAATGTTCAGACTGAAGAAATGGATGAAATTTAGAAGAATGGAGGAAATATCAAAAATGAAATTAGATACCACTGATGCCTGTGAAACAAACCGGGCCCTGCACAATAAGAGAAAAACTTGTTTTTTTGTTGTAGAGATGGTAATCCGAATTAACCACCAAACAAAATTGGTTTTAGAGGTCTGAGATATACGCAAACAAGAGAAATTTTAATATTTTTTTTTTATTCCTAACTCCATAATTCATTAATAAGTTAACATTACACTGTAAAAAGTTATATTAGACAAGATTCTCAAATGCTTCTTTCATAATCTACGGCACTTATCGAAAAAAAAAAAAATTAAAAACAATATATTTGAATTGAAAGTTTATTAAATTTCCTAGAGTTCATAAAGAAAATGTAAATGACTGTTAAAACACTGGAATTCAGACACGTAATTCCATCCATATTCTAGGTGTCACACTTAAGTTGAACTCAGTTTTTCTTTTTGATTTGTCGGTTTTCCTTTATTTAAAACAGCTTTAGAACGTGAAAACGTACTATGATCTTCTCTTCACTTTTTTAAAATAGGACCGGATGAAAGAGGCACTAGATCAATTTATATATATACATACATCTTAAAAAATAGAGTTCATTGTCCGTTTTTCGCTGATAACTCCTTATCTACACATTTCTCAAAAAAACTTACAATGTTCAAATGGAAAGAGCATTAAATTTTCAACAGAATTCATCTAGAGTCTTTAATATGCAAGAAGCTGACCGCCCATATTTGAATTTAGAGGCGTATTTTTCTAAAGTTTAAAATAATATAATAAATTTTTATGTCACTCATACCCCATAGAATAATAATAAAAAAGGTCAGACTGTGTTTCTACATCTCAAAGCTGTTTTGAATAAATGTAAATTAGACAAATCAAAGAGTTGAGAATAACGATTGAGTATGACAACTAGAATATAGGTGGAAATACGAGTTCAAATTCGAGCGTTCAAAGCGTGATTTACTTCCTCTACATGATCTTTATAGAAAATTTAATGAACTTTCAATTTGAACATATTGTTTTTTCGTTAAATGCCGTAGATTATTAGCGACCGAAAAACGGAAAAACGAAGGTTTTTATGAGAAATCTGAAAGTCTTATATTAAAAAAAAAAAAATAGTGGGAGATTTTTTTCTAAACTATCTGCATGCAAACTACTTTATATAGAGTAGTGTTGACCATAAAATACATTACTTAAGAGTTACGGGTTAAAAACTAGAAATGCAGCGAAAAGTTCGCATTCAGAACCTTAAATAACATATGCAACCGCAAAGAAACAGACTATTTAGGTTTTTCCTCGTCCTTATTACTTTCCTACCTATACTAGGTAAGGAAAGTATTGCGATCGAGTCAAATTTCCGATATGCGGTTTTCGACGGATCTATACGTTTCAGAGCCCCTTGAGTCTGAAAAACACATTTTTGACCATTGGCCTGCCTGTGCCAAGATTTTTTCGGGAACTACTGAAATGATTTTGTTGCTTCTTTTTTTATTTTGTAGGGTTTTGACTACTGATGCCTGTGACAGAAATGCGGTGCTCCATGCGCAATAGCTTGAGCGCAATCAATGAAAAACATGTTTTTCTATAGACTGTAGCGCGAAAACGGCTATAACGATTTTGATGAAACTTTCCTATAATGTTCATTGTCCTTTCAATTTTCGTATATAGACTAAATTCCAGAAAAAAAAAAGTTATAAAGAAAAGAAAAATGTTATGGGCCTAACTTTCTAAGTATATATTATACGGTGCAATTTATAATAAAACTTTTGAAAGATAATTAAATTACCAACAAAACAAAAAAAAAAAAAAAAAAAAAAAAAAAAAATCAACGGAATCGAACCAGTATTAACGATGATACAGCTTATTCTAGTTTTTACACATTTTTTAACTTATTACTTTCCTACCTACACTAGGTAAGGAAAGTATTGCAATCAGGTCAAACTTCCGATATGCTGTTTTCGACGGATCTATACGTTTCAGAGCCCCCTGAGTCCGAAAAAAACGCCGTTTAGCCTGTCGTTTGAAAGGTAATGAAATTCCCTACAAAGTCATATAAAAATCGTTTTGGACAACTATTAACGAAGTTACTACAGCTATTCAATTTCCAATGTAAGATTGCGGGTTCATATTCTGGTGTCAGAAAGGGGTGAATGAGAGAATAAATATGACTAAGTGAAAGTAAGAAAATCTGTTGCCCGGATCACATAATCTTCACTACTTCCTCTACTTTTAACAGAAATTATTGTTTGACAATACTAAGCTATGGCAAAAAGTTTTTGATCAGCAATATTAGTGAGTATTGAAATTTTTACACTGATCTACCTTAAGCCGCTTTACATTGCTTCAGTTTATCAAATAAATCGTACTAAAATCTTTTGTTTGATAAATTTTCAGGAAAATAAATCTAGTTCAATTCTTTTTTGTTTCTTCATGAACATATATAAATATATAAACACTTTTCTGAAATAGGTAGGAAAGTCGTGTGAGTGGACACATCAGATATTTTTTTTTGCCTTCACACCTACCTTTTACCCTCCCCATCATTCGTATAGTAGTTGCCGTGGTACTATCTGTACTGCGCTTTTTATTTGTACCTAGAGGTGAAAGATCGTTTTCAATACTTCGAATTATGGAGTATCAGATGGTAGTAATATGGGTTCATCTCTAGTAAAAATTTGAGTTTTAAAGAGTGCAAGAAAGTAGAATAAGAAATTTAAATTAATAAGGATTAAAACAAGAAGAATGTAGAAATAGGAGTAGGCTAAATACAAATAGGATCGAAATTCAAATAAAATTAACAGTTTTTCGTACTACAAATAGTATTATTATTAGTTGTAATTTGTTATCGAAAGGATTAATAAAACTACAGAAATTAACCAAAGATCGTCGGAAGCGATTGCGTGTGCATCTCATTTCAATTTCAAAACTCCACGAACACATATTTAAAATATATTTAAATATATATTAAAATATATTTAAAACATACTTATATATACATATATTCTCCCCCCACCTACTAAATTTCGAGATTTCCAGCTGTTAGTTTTGTAAAAACAAACCTCGAGCTCCGACTGAACCACTAAAGGCCCGGGTCGTGAAGACTGGACTCTTGAGGCTTTGGACCTTGAATCCTCAGATTCGAGCTGAAGGCTCATGCGATTTGAGCTTTGACGCATTTATCTTAAAAAAAAAAAGCTTAAATTATTATACACTTTCGTAAAAAAATATATATATACTTTTTTCTGTTGATACTAACAATGCAAATATATTTCCAATATATAATGTTAATTTATTATATTTCTGTAGGTAGTAACAATGTGAATATATTTTCGAAATAAAATGTGAATAGTAGATAGGAAAACATAAGTAAGAGTCGAGCTGCTACATGATCCTTTCACCGTCCAGCTCTCTAACAACACTACCAGAGGCCCCCTTAAGATCAAATGAACTGAATTATGACATGTCGATAGTCTTTAAAACAGAATATTACCATAAAAGCATGGATCGATTTCGGCGTGTCCAAATGGTTTAGCATCTCTAGAGCAGCTCCAAATATACATTTTTCACTATTTTTATTGAATAGTTCAATTGAAAAAAAAAAAAAGATTTAGCCGATGTAGCGAGTTTTCACATACTCGTCCTACTTTGGGTCCCTCGAAAAATTAATACCATCAATTACCTTCGAATATTATAATACATCTAAAAACTTGTAAGATTTAATTTTTTTTTTAAAAAGCTAAAGGATTGAAAATGTATAGGCTATTTGTGATCCCAATTAAATTGAAACTTAACTTGTTGTCCCATTCCAGCCATTTCCTCCGGTTTTTAGGACAGCGACAGCGTATCTTTATAGCCCCTCCAATCCGAGTTAGAGCCTTACAAAATTGTAAATGAATTGAGTTGATGGACAAGTGTCTTATAAGTTTTAGTTTTCCCCTCTACCACGCCATTTTTCTCGCTTTATAACGATTATCTCACTTTTAGGACGACTCCAAAACTAATTCAGATTGAAATGTGGAGGCCTCTGGGAAATGACGATCATTAAAGGATTCTTTGGGAATTCATCATAGCATTTTTGTCACCTTTGAGCAAAAAGTTACAAATTCAGCTAACAGGATTAATTCATATATAACTATTAACAAAGAGAGGCGAGCTGAATAATTTTCATTGCGAGCCTAAAAAATATAAACAATTTAAAAAAAATATTTTAAATAACATACAACGGTGAATATATCAATTCCACTAAGATTATAAATTATTTAACTTAAAAATATCTTATGTATATTCAGAAGTTTTTACAGGCACACGTCGTTAGTGCTCCGTGAATAGAGCTAATCCAACAATTTAATACCTATCAGAGAGCAAGTTTTCCGCGAAACTTTAGGAAGTGGTGGTAATTTCGTTGTTGTTAAATCGGGGGATTTCCAAGAGGAATGAACCAATATATGTTACATAATAGCCATTATTACAAATTAGTATTTCAGTTATTTATCTAAAACAAAGAAGAACCTAAAATGCCTAATGCGTTCAAGAAGAAGTTCAATGAAAGACGAATCTTCGCCTATCACACCTTTGCAATTTTTCAAAATATGCACCAAAGAGAGAAATATTTTCCTAGTATGAACCAAGCACTTAGCACTCAAATATTCCTATTCATTATTTCATTTTTATAATGATAA